CCACCGACCCACAGGAAACACAAGTTCTGCTCAAACAGTCAGCCCTGCAGCAGCAGCAGAATCAGTTTAGTACCAGTTAGTTGACAGTCAGATGAGAAATACGCAAGTTAAAAGACATAATGAGGATGGAATGAAGACTGTGTTGACCTTCACATGTAGGGATGAGGCCTGATCGATGTCCGTGTGTTGTGCAGCTGGTTTCCAGGCTGAAAGAATGCAACGACCGTCTGACTGAAGTCCGTAATGAATATCTGCTGACATTAGCAGCAGTCAACGCTCATCAGAAGCACTACTACAGCACGGACCTCCCACGAATCATGGAGGTAACACACACACAGGCATCGGTACCAAGTACAGCAGTTCATTCTGTGGGTCCATCGGACGTGTCCTTTAGTGGATGAGCTGCTCTTAATCCAAACCCATGAGTAGACATTTTTTTATTTATTTTAATTATACACCTTCTCAGTGGCGTCATTAGGCCTATTTTAGGGAGGCTTCAGCCCCCCTAAATTATTTTATGTTCATTTATTAACTTTTTTTTTTTTTTTTTACAAAAAGTGCCGCCAAATTCAATATCATGTGGCCAGAATATGAGTTTAAATAAATACACATATAACCAGTTTTTATTAACTTAAATGTGATCATAAATACTAGTTTCCCTTCACTTCATCGTGAAAGGTAGAAAGTCAGTCAGTGCGTCCTTATCCAATCCAGTCCACTTGCTCATATAGACCACGCCCACATCACTGCAATCCAGCCTCGGTTGCAATATGTGTACCGGGAGCGGAGCACACGGAACCATCTAGAGCAGGGGTCTCCAATCCTGGTCCTGGAGGGCCACAGTCCTGCATGTTCTAGATGTTTCTCTCTTCCATCACAGCTGATTCAAATGATCAGCTCATCATCAAGCTCTGCAGAAGCCTGATAACGATTCTGATCATGTGAATCCTGATCTAGAGCAGCATTAGGAGAAGAGCAAGAATGGATATTCAACATTTTTTCAAGAAAGTAGTAATTGGTCACTGCTTATAGCAACAATAAGTTAGCTCCAGCCCCCCAGCTAACAGCAGAAAGTCCCACATAATGACCAAATGGTCCCTGTTTGACTAATAAAGACCTGGTCCTCTGTGGGAGAGAGCCCTGTACAGCATGTCTTACCTTGTTTTTTGGTCAAAACTTACATCTCAGCTCTAAAAGAATGCTGCTACTTAGTTAGCTAGCTAGTCTGAAATGCAGTGTGAAGGTCCTGGCTGTACAGAGTGAGGTGTTCTCTCCTCCTCATGCTACCTTTGGGATGACTTCCTTCTGGAGCATCAGCTCCACCATCAGATGCTCACCGTGAAACAGCTCATTCACGGATGATTATGTCGATAATAATGATGGCAATAAGAATGATAGTGAGAGTGAGAGGGGAGGAACTTCTGCTGGGAAGGCGAGTCTCAAGGATTTCACAGGATGGAGTCACTCGTGGTGCAGACAGTCTTGGAATTTTAAGGAAATTGATATGAATATGAAACATTTCAGTCCAAGTGCACCATATAAGACTTATTTAACTTGGGCTTTTATTTAGAAGAGTACTGATTGGAAAGTGGAGATAGCCAAGAGAGAGAGATGGATAAGCCAAATTTGCCTCGTCCAAATATTTTCAAGAGTACCTAATATATAATTCTAATTTATGTAATTAAGTAAGATTTTTTTCAGGGCTTGAAATTACAACCATTTTTGTCGCATATGTGCTCAAAATGTAATCTGTGTGACTTTAAAATGTTTGGGAGTAAAAGCTGATTGTGTTGTGAGTGAAAGTCGTGGCATCTGTGCATCTCTTGGGGCTAAGTCCTCCCTTTCCTTAAAACCTGGTGACGCCCCTGCACCTTCTGTAGTTCCTTAGAAGTTACTGGCTGGAGCAAATCAAATGTGAAACCAGAGTTTCACAGCTTCTGGACACTGAGCAGCTTGTCATGGACAGTTTGCTGCTGCAGGACTTCAGTAGCTTCCAGAGAGGAACACTTTCTAACTTGTTTTTTTGGCTGTGAATGAATGAAAACTGACTGTAGTCTTCTTTTCTCATCAGCAGATGGACGGTGACGTCTATGAAGGCTTAAGAACTTATTTCACTCTGCTGTGTGGGACGGAGATGGAAACCTGTCTGAGCACACACAAACAGTACAGCAGGATATGGGACAGCGTGGTCAAGGTGTGCATGCATAGGAATAAAACTCTACACAACCTGTCAGCGTTGGGTGTAGAGTTCATGGTGGAGCATTGATACGGACACTGTTCAGTAACAGTCTATGTGTTCGTAGTGTCTGTTTCACTGTGTTTTATTTTAACGTGCAAATGATTGGACAGTGGTGTTGCTGCAGAATTCAGTCATTCAGTCTTTATTTGGAAGTGGAGAACATTGAAGTACCGAGGCCTGTGTGACGACCCGAGTCTCAGAATCAATGCAGGCGGACCCAAACGAAAAAGGGAGGCAGGAGAAAACGTTAAAGGAAAAGGTTTATTTAACAAGGGAGGGGAAGTGAGGGGGTCCTGGTGGAGGAATCCAGTGAGGGTGTCGTGGTGGAGATCCCAGGTGGTGGGTGGAGGTGCTGTGCTCCAGGAGCGGTGCTGGTGCAAATCCATTTCCCGTGAAGATCTTCTCTGTGAAGGTGCTCAAACGGAGATCCGTGGGGTGAAGGTGCTCGTGTCCGTGTGTTCCCGTGAAGTGTGCTCGAAGGAGAAGAAGCGGCGGCGTGAGGGGAGAAGGACTGGAGCTGGAGCCGAGACGCTGGAGAAGCAGAGGAGAAAAACCATGAACTAGAGACACTCAAAAAAAAAACTGTGAACTTAGCTGAACGTTGCTCGAGAGGTTGCTGCTAAGCGGCCTGATTGTACCGCAGTGAGGAATCATCTGCCACTGAAGGTCTGTGAGCTGCTCGTATTTATACGACTGGCTGCTGATGAGAAGACGAGCTGCAGCTGTCAGCGCTTGATTGTCTCCTTCAGGTCGGCTCCGCCCAGCCTGCAGGTAGAACAGGAAACCACGCCCACCACACACCAAGGCACAGAAAACAAACATAGCATCCTAACAGCCTGATTTACAAAGCAGCCGAGTATGAAGACAGAAGATGTAGGTACACAAATAAAAAGAGAAACAATTAAAATAATTTAAAAAAAAACATTATTCTGAGCATTTAAGCTTTTATTTGTTTTTTTTGTCTGTATTTTGCTGGTGCACAATTAAAAGTAACACCAGGTAACAGCTAATTAGCATCTTGATGGAAGAACATGAAGGATTTTAAACATCAGAGTAAAACAGGAAACTGATTATTTTAGAATATTGCAGCGGTGATTTGTTTCTAGCCTGAGTTCACAGTCTGAGTCAGTCTACCTGAGCAGGTAGTAAAACAGAAAGCTGGTGCCGGATACTTTAAATTATTCAGATGAACTGAACATTGCTGGTGACCTTAATAACTTCCAGGTTCGTCTGTCTTTCGTGGTCACTGCAGCCGTCAGTTTGGCTGCAACATGTTCTTTAGATTGTGTCTGAATAAAAATCACAGAATCATCAGCGAACATCTGGACGGTGACATCTGGACATGCTGAGGAAGGTCATTAAGGTCCATCAAATCAAACTGGTCCTGAAGCAGACCCTTAAGGAGCTTTAATACAACCTTTGTCATATTCAGTGTCTCTGAAAGCGACACAACAAACTCCTGACCTGCTGTTTGAGGTTCAGAGAATGAAGGAAGGAGAAGAGATGAACTGAGGACAGACAGGTTAACATTAAAGACAGAGAAAAGGCTGGTTTTTGATGTTCAGAGACAAGAAGAGGACGAGCTGAGACAGAAATTCAACACTGAATATGTGAAGTAGCAGCTGAGTGAAATCGGAGCTGAACTTCTGGAAACGTTTCCTGCTGATCAGAAGGATGATGAAGAGACTGTTGTTTGTTCACCTCGAACAGCCTTTTCAACACTTTGTGAGAAATTCTGCAGAACTTACAGAGATGTAACTGACAGTTCTTTGCTGAGGTGGGAGAGGGAAGGATTCCAGCTTTTGTTGCTCTGACTGCACCTGGCTGCTGTGTTTCAGGTGACCAGAGACAGAAACGTTCAACAGTTCCTGCAGGAATCATCCTCCTTCAGCAAATCACCTGAGTTCTCATTTCAACCTGCTCATCGAGACCAGGTGAGTCTGTCAGAGTAAACCAGACGGTGCAGAAGAAGGGCTCCACATGCACACTTTTACCTGTAGATGCAGCTTAACCGTCTTTTTGGTAATGAAAACACAGAAATCCAAACCTACGGCTGAGTCTAAGTGGTGTTACACTTTGTGCTAATGTTGCTCGGAGACGATCGTGTAAGTCAAGAATAAAAGACAGTCGGACCGTCTTACAGTGAAATGCAGTCCAGTTGCTGGATCTCAGCAACTGTCCACGTTCATGAAATAACTCGCTGTAAACTTCTGAAAAGCTTCTTTTTTTAAGGCACAGATCCACGGACAACGTTTTAAAGCTCAGAATGAAGAGTTTGGATGTTTTTTGCCTCTTCAGGTGTTTTCTCTGCAGGAGGTTTGTCCCTCTGATGATGAGGCCAGTCTGGTGAAGGAGGCCAAGAAATGGGTCCAAAAGGCTGCAAAGGACTACAAGATGGCTGCTCATGGAGAGAGAGTGAGTCTCAGCTCTAGTCCTGTCAAACCTGTGTTGGTCTTCAGGATTAGATTGTCTTTGTTCATTTAAAATGTACACGGCATGGAGACCAACAAACCACAAAATTCTTTTACTTTAATAAATAAATTCATCCGTCTATCACAGGGGTGTCGACATCCGGTCCTGGAGGGCCACAGTCCTGCATGTTTTAGATGTTTCCCTCTTCCAACACACCTGATTCAAATGATCAGGATGGTTATCAGACTTCTGCAGAGCTTGATGATGAGCTGGATGATGCTCCTGCCTACACAATGCAACCAGCCACCATCCCGTTCTACCAGTTAGCCCCAGTTCCCCGCTGAGTCCTAGTGCTAGTCTGTTAGTGTTAACGTAGTGAATCGTTATTATCTGTGTACTTCCTGGCTCAGTTTGTACTCTGTTCAGGTTGTATTGTGCAACGCTGTTAGTGTTGGTTCGTAGTGTGTGTCCAGCTGTATTTAGTACTCCCCACCTGTTGGCGTCAGTCACGAGTTTTGTTCTTTGTTGCCGCCGAACTCGTTTCTGCTTATTCTGTATTCGTGTAAATATCCATTCATCCATCCATCCATTTTCTATACACCGCTTAATCCTCACTAGGGTTGTGGGGGGCTGGAGCCCATCCCAGCCGACTTAGGGCGAAGGCAGGGGACACCCTGGACAGGTCGCCAGTCATTCGTATAAATATTATTCTTGTGAATAAATCATTCTTTGTGAAACATCTGAGCCTCCGTATCTGCACAGCATCACTTGTTATGTTTCACCTTAAAAGAGGAATAAATGCAGCCCAACAGGCAGAAGCAAACTGTAATGTCTTCAAGTTGCTGTAGAGACTATATGAGCTGGTAGAACTCTGGTTGGTCCAAAGTTATTGGTCGTATAATAACCCAGAGTCTCATGCTTGTCGTTCTGATGAGGAATACGTTGTGTTTGTGTCTGTCAGGCCCTGCAGATGTTGGAGAGTCGACTGAAGCTTCTTTCAGGAGAAACTGGACTCAGTGTGGAGCAGAAGATCACAGAGGTGCAGGAGAGCGTCAGGAAGGCGAAGGTAGCACATCAAATGTGGCTTTTATCCACAGGTCTCACAAAAAACATTCGGCAGCTTAGACAGTCAGAGTCTGTTTCCTGAGTCTGTCTGCTTATAAATCGAATCAGTGTTGAGGAGAGTTTCTGAATGTGGAGAGGAAAGTACCAGAAAACCAGATGGTGTCTGGGCTTATGGGACAGGTGACGGAGTTCTTCTGTCTATGATGTATGACAAACTTCAGGTACTTTAGACCGACATATTTGTAGAACGTGTTCTAGAACATGGTGCCTGTAGAACAGGTTCTGGAGTCATACGTAGTGTTCGGTGCTTTGGTTCAGTTTTCTCTGTCAGCTCAAGTCTGAATTTTCAGATTCTGACTGAATCTGAAAACATTTTTTGAATGTTTTAGTTCAGTTCACTGAGAAACAGTTGGGTTTTGGCTTCACTGAGGTTGAACTGGGTCTAAACACTCAGTACCGGCCTGTCTGCAAGTTTTAACTGAGGTTCTGGTTCTGTCAGCTCAGCAGGGTGAAGGCCGAGGCTCGGCTCGCTCTGCTGTCAGAGAGTGTCGCAGGAACTCAACGCTGGCTTCAGGAGGCCATGAACCGGGCCGAACAGGACCTGGAGACGGAGCGACGCCTCAGCGAACAGAGGAAGTCCACTGAGGACTTCTCAGTATGGAAACTCTCCCCTTCAAAATAAAAGCTAATCATTTACAGCCGAGATGTAGGGTTAGGGTCCAAACCTTTTCTATGGGTTCTGTTCGTTTTTCCTAAGAACCTGTCGGATAGCAAGGTTTGGACTGTTAAGGGTCGGATTACCGAGTCACGACTGAATACACACACACACACACACACACACACACACACACACACACACACATATATATATATATATATATGTGTGTGTGTGTGTGTGTGTGTGTGTGTGTGTCGTGTCTGATGTGTTTCCACGGAGGACTGTGGCTCAGAAACAGCTGCTGACTTCCTTCCAGCTGAATGCAGCCACATGCAGCTGCACTTCCTGTTGATCTGAACATTTACCACCGTGCATCTGACAGACTGAATCTTTTTCTTGCATGAGCAGCATGTCCGTGGGTTTGGAGCGAACAAAGCCAGACCACAGATCCCAGATGCAGCACTTTAAAAGGCTGCTCTGTATAAACTAAACCGTCAGAGAACTTTTGTGTTTCTGAACGTCGCTGCTCAGACTGAAGGCTCCTGGAAACTGTCGACTTTTAACTGCTGCCTGCGTCGCCCAGTTTTCAGGCGAAGCACAGTTCACTGCAGAAGGTTCCTCCTGTGCAGTGACAGACTCACGGTGTTCAGCATTTGTGTCCAGTGGGGATGAGGGAACAGTGTGGGGCTCTCTGCAGCTGCTTTCTGTAGGTTTGAACAAACGCTGCTCAGACAGGGAGAAACGTCTTTGCTGGGGACGAGTTTCAACCAAGGACTGACATTTATTGACTAATATGTGTGTGACTGAATAACCAGTGAGTGTTGGAGCTCCTCCAGACGTTCTGTGCTTATTGGGAGGATCCATTAAAATGTTTATTCAGTTCAGTTCAGTTTAGTTGAAGCAGCACCAGTTCACAGCACGTGTGGTCTCAAAGCACTGAACACGGTGATGTGAAGACCTCAGGTTTAGAACAGAGAACCATCTGAGCGTGAGGTGAGCAGCAGAAGACACGAACACAGAAGCTTTGAGAGAAGGAAGCCCACCGAGTGTTTCTGCTGTTTTCCAGGAGGATGAGTTTGAGCTGACCGACTTCGAGGACTACGAAGACGAGAACGGAGACATCTTTGCAGATCCAGCGTCGGCTTCTGGAGTGTGTGTTTACCCTGCAGCCTGCAGAGTGGTCTACAGCTACCAGGTAGGACACACCTGTCAGCATGGAGGCAGAACATACACCAACAGGAAACAAACTAAAGTAAAACACACTGTTCCCAAACTTTGAAGTAAAAACTACACACGTGATTGTGAGATACGTCAAAGTGTCTGCAGCGACTGGAGGAAAGAAAGCAGAAGGAAGTTCAGTCAGCCAGAAAGCTGTCGGCAGCTTTAATTCACTTCATGTCAGAACTTCTCATGAACCTCTTCAGAAAGCTTTGTGGCCACTGAGCAATGACAGCATGTTACCTGTTGTAGGCCAGCCAATCAGATGAGCTGTCGGTCATTGAAGGGGAGGAGCTCCAAGTGATAGAGGATGGAGACGTGGAGGACTGGCTGAAGGTAACGTGGCACTTTACTGTGTGTGTTTAGGAAAGCTGTCAGACTGTGTGATAGCATCCCTCCGTAGGACCACAGCGCTCACACAGGACGAAGCACAAACTGGCTGCAGCTTCATTCACACAACGCTGACAGTCCAGTTCTGCTTTAGTTGTAACATGTCGTCTCAGCGCTGAGCACAGGAAGGCACAGACAACCCAAAGCTGCCTTTGGACTCTGAGCCAGCAGTCGGCAGCGATGGGGCGGAACCGGGCCAGGTTCACTGAAATCAGTGAAATGCAGTAAAAGCGAACAAACTCACTTCAACAGTGGAGTGCTGCCGTCAGCAGTGAACAGACGCTTCAGGTGAGCTGTGGAGGTACTGGAGGCAGGTGAGCACATGCTGGCTTTATTACCTGGAAGGTCCAGGTGAGCTGCATCACCTGTCAGCCAGGTACAGACTCAGGTGAGATCAGGACAGCGTGACGTTGAGGATCATATAGAACCATAAAACACAAAGAAGAGTTTTCAGGGCTTCAGCCAGTGAGATGGACTCCAGATATGCAGCACACACTTCCCTGTGTATGTTTCCAGGTGTGTGTACCTGTCTTCATACCTCTGTGCAGGTGTGTAACTCGTGTGGTCAGGTGGGCTATGTACCAGAGAGGTACGTGCAGCTCCTGTGTCTGCCAGCAGAGGACGCCACTCAGCTGGACAGTTCCTTCAACTCCACGTCATCCACAGGCAACCAGGAGACGGCAGGAAGCAGAGGTTGGTTCAGCATCTGCTGTCTGTTCAGTCTTAGAGCATCATCAGTGTTTCAGTGTCAGACCTTCTTCAGACCTTCATCAGCTGGTCGCTCTCCACAAGGACAGCAGCCGTCTGAACAGGAAGTGGCTTCATGATGAGGGTTGGACCATTTGTGAGCACTGGAGGCGACGAGTAGCTGCATGAAGGAAACATTGAGCTAATAACTGTGTTTCTGAGTTAGTCTGATCCTCTTCTGGCTCATGAAGTAGATGTGAGAAGAATTCAGATCATAGTCAAACACCAGGATGTCCAACGACACCTCATTTAGCAGTAAACAAAGCAGCGCCCTCTTCTGGCCGCTCTGCAGAACATCATGTCCTCATACGTCTCATAACCAGAGAGACCAGGTTGCTCATTCAGACTGAGGGTTAAACATCTCATCAACCATCTCAGCTGGTTCAGGTCCTCCTCCTCCATCAGTCTGCTGCTCACAGAACCTGGAGGTGTGTTTGGACTCACTGTAAACATGGTCCACGAAGGTCAGACCTGACTGGACTGGATAAAACTGCAGGACTCCAATGGCAACACGCTGGGCTGTTTCAGCACAACTCACCTGACAGCCAGGTAACCAGCGCATGAAGCCGGTGACCACCAGCAGCTGCCATCAGACTTCCACGTCTTCTGTTTGTAGTTTTGATGTTTTCTGTGCAGCAAACCCGTAAAAGTAAAGAAAAAAAACCTTGAATGTTGGAGGTTTGAATGTCTTAATGTGAATTTAAATCAACATTAGTTCACACCGAGCGTCGCATGTGGATGATGTAGGACACGCTTCAGTGGTTTTCTATAATCAGCTGATGTGACCTGTCCCAGGTGTCGTCAGAGCGCTGTACTCCTACCAGGCTCAGAGTGCAGAGGAGCTTTCCTTCCAGGAGGGGGCGCTGATCCACCTGATACGCTGTCGGCATGGAGAGGTGTGTGCTCAGGTGTTCTCTGTATTTAAGGCCTGGATCTGCTTTCAACAGCTCACACTGTAGCACTGGAGTCTGGAGCACAGGTGAGTTGAAGTACAGGTGAGTTGAAAGCAGCTCGGCTCCTCTGAAAACACGAGTTGTGACTTTTTGAAGAGGCTCTAAACTAACGGACGTGTCAAACCTCCTTGAGGACGATGAAGCCGGTGGTTCGTGAAGACGCCTGCATGTCTGCCTTCCTCTCCCAGAAGCTCCGTTTTCTGTCTCACCTTTGTACAACTAGACCTTCTGATTCTTATTAATGGGAATAGTGATAAATAAACGCTAAGTCAGGTGTTCCATAAATGTTGTTGTTTCTGATAAAAGTGAAACGACGACTCAGCGGTTCATCAGCTGATTTCGTTTGATCTCAGATTAAACATGAAACATCCTCAATTTACTAATAATCCAAACCAAAGGTCCACTTTCCTGTTTTCTGTGGACGCTTGGAGCCAATCACTGAACAGAGTTTATCTGTTCACGAGTCCAGCATCCGATGAAAACCATGAAGTCTGGGCGAAAGACGAAGCAGAGAAAGCTTGAGAGTGAGTGTAGTTTACCAGCTGGGCGAAGCTTCACCTGATGATGTTCTTCAGGTGGACGATGGATTCTGGGAGGGAGAGCTGGACGGACGAACTGGTTTCTTCCCTTCTCTGGTGGTGGAGCTGCTGCAAGAGGAAGGTGACGAGGAAGAGGAGGAGGTGAGCTGCTTCTCTGAACCTGCGTCTGACCGTTCCTTCATTTATTCATCCATCCATCCATCCATCCATTCATTCATTCATTGTTCTGTCCAGGACCCTCCATCACCAACCAGGCCTCCCCTGTCCCCTCCTGCTGCTGCTGGCTGTAGTTCGGCTGCCAGCGCGGCGCCCCCTGCAGCCCTGGAGGACAAACTGCAGCCTGTGAAGCTGGCAAGAAGCCGACCAGGTGAACAGAGACTCAGGTCTTCATCAGGACAATGTGTGACTGAAGGTCTGATGGTTTCCTCTGTTTGTCTGCAGGCAGTGATTCTCCAGAACCGTCCAGCAGCCGACTCAGGCCGGTACGTTCTGAATCCACCGCTGTCTTCATCAACAAATGTAGAATCGATGCAACAACAGGATTCAGCTTCATTAACACGTCCGTGGTCTGTTTCAGTGCCGAGCTCCGCCTCCTCCTCCAACTCAGAAGTCTTCAGCTCAGCCCTGAGACGAGACTGGACTCAGCAGGAGGACCGGCCCGGTTCTGGCCTGTCAACCCTTTACAGCAGAGTCTCGGTTTATCTACTGAACATCTTGTAGATGAACTATCGGAACATACGGCGTTCAGCAGCTTATCAAACAGTAAAAATATGAAACAACATGAAGTACTGCAGCTAGAACTGAAGAGAACAAAACGGTTTCCGGTTCCTCGTTTCCTCCCTCAGAAGGGTTTCTTTATGTTTTATGTCTTTGCTATGGGGAGCTGTTACTGTCTGTTAAACCACAGTAATCATGCTTTTTTTATTGTAGCGACCACAAATAGTCAGAAAATGATCTTCAGCTTCTGCAGACTGACTTCAGCAGAGCTTCTCTACGTCGGTCCAGATGAGAGTCAGTTCATTTCTTCCTTTGTGGACATTTTCTTGTCGTTCTACTGAACCAGTCGTTATGTTTTATGGGTTACGACGGTTTTGGTGTGTCGTCGTTCTGACTGTGATTAAATGAGTCTTTGGTTCTTCTGGTTCCTGGTTCAGTGTTTCATCGTGTTTCAGCTCAACAGGGACCAAACAAACGCTCACACAAGCTCGAAAAGCAAAGTTTGTTTTTATTTCATAAGAATAAATTATGGTCAATTTGCATATTTACAACTCAGACTTGTGAGCATCGGTACCAGCAGGATGTTCCAGAACACCACACTGAATGGGTTTCACCAGCTGTTTGGTAATCGGGCTGTCGGTGCTGATTCAGGGTTCTGAGCAGCTGATCCATAACGTCAGACACCATTTTATTATCTACAGACTTTCTACAGCAGCAGCTTTGTGAACAAACTGACCAACATGTGTTATTACTGCTCCCTTTGTGTTTGAACACAGACACCAAGAATCAGGTTTTATTAAGCTTAAGATTAAATTAACTGGATCAAGAATGAAATCAGTTTAACTAAACTGGGTTTTTCCTTCGTGTTGATACTGAACTCAGGCTGTTGTGCTGCTGAGAACCCACTTTGTGTTTAACACAACATTCTGGGTTGACAAGAGCTTGAATTAGATTTTTTTAAATATATATTGTCTGTCAAGCTGTGTTCGTTACAGGGGACCAAAAACAGACAGAATAATCCCCTCAGATCTGGAGAAACTAAGCCTGACCCTGATCAGATGGAAGATCACTGGACTGATCTAATAACGAAGATGTAACACCACCGCCAGTCACAGTCAGTGGCTCCAGAAGACGTGTTGATCATTTACCAAATAAATATCCTGCATGGAGTTTCCTAATCAGGCGAGAGCTTCATTTGTTGTGTGGAATTCAGGGACAAGCCTTCAGCTGGTGTCTGTCTGCTGCTAAAGGATCCTCTGACTGTCTCAGGATACATGAAGTCTTATGTGAGTTATGTGTTGAGCTGCAGCAACATTTAAAAGTGTTTGGTGATCGAACACTGAGCTGTAGTTTCACCATCTCTTCAGAAATGTGTGATCTTGTCTTGTTCCTGTCTGAGTCCTGTTAGCGTTCATGTGCACGATGTTTATCTGCAGGTTTACTGGTTCTGCTGCTCTGGTTCTTTACCTTTTCTCCAGTTTAAGTCAGCTTCTGCCAAACATGTTCTCTGCATCCCCACTCGTCTCGTCCTTAAACCGACTTTTATTTTCTGACAAGAGGTCGGAACCAGAAATGCTTTCAGGACTAAAGTTTCTCTGCTTAAGCTGTTAATTTACAGCCTCACTGCTGGATTTGTTCAGTTATTTTCACCGAACCGACTTCAGCTGCTGAAATAAAGCATCTGGAGCCAATCAGACGGCTTCATGAGGATCTGTGCTCAGCGACGTGGCCTCTCACACACCATCAACACCTAGTGACTAAAAACCTTTATCAGTGTCATTTACAAGATTATTATGTCAAACTTTCAGCAGGTTAACACATAAAACTAACTCCTGTGTGGACTGTGATGCAGTGAATGTGACCTGTTCATTCATTCATTCATTCATTCATTCATTCATTCATTCATTCATTCATTCTGGATGAAAGCTACAGACATGAACAATAATCATCATCATGTTTCAGACAGCAGATGTTCTGTCCACATGTGACCAGTCAGAGGATAAAATAAACTCATGGGAAGACTGCAGACGTCCTGGTTGGTTTCCCATAAAGACCAGGAAGTAACATGGACCTCTGACCTCTGTCTGTAAACCAAGTTCTGACCCGGTCTGTATACTGGGCTCTGAGCCAGAGAGTGTAAATCAAAATAAATACAGATTCTAAGACAAATCTTACACTAAAGCCCAGTTTTATCCTCAGACTTGCTGTCTGGCTGCAGCTGGATCCTCCAAGTCTGAACGTTTACTCCGAGTCTTCCTTCAGCTGAAGGAGGTTTTTCCTTCCTTTGGTTTCATTTCTGTTGCTCGGTCTCATCAGTTCTTGTCCTGGAGCGTCACTAATCGATCAGCACAAAGTCGTCAAACAAAAATCGACCTGCGTCAGGATTTTAAAGGTCTATGAGTAGGTAGAAGGTATGAACGTCCACTTTGACCCTCCAGCTGCAGGTATCTTCAACGTTCCTCCTCTTAAATGAAAACAAATAAGCTCCCACTGATTTTCTGCATATGAGCTAATATACACGCCTACAACACGTTCAGCAGACGGACGCACTGAACTTGAACTCTTTCACTTCGTCCTGCAATGAACTGGAAGCTTTAGCGTCTAAGCTACTCGTCACGAAGACCATTTGTACAATCAGCCATTTGTTTCCATTCATTTCTGTGTAGTACGAAGAAATGTCCTCGGATTGTTGGTTCTTTGACAGCAAACACTAAGTCTTCATGTTTTATTCCAAAGCAGACTAGATTTACTTAAATACGTCATGTGGCAGCACCTGGTTTATCAGGCAGCTGGCTCATCGCTTTGGTCCAGAATCACAGAAGAGGAGAATCCTGGTTCCTCGATGGTTCACCCTGAACACTTCTGTCAGCGTCATCATGAGGATGACATCTGTGGGTTTGGCTGGAACATCTACACAACTATGGGATGGTTGGACTGTGTTCACAGCTCATTAATCAAACAGCTTCTTCATCAGAAAGTAATGTACTGCAGAAGTGATGGAGCTGAACAGAAATGCTGGAGGAGAACAAAGTGCTCCGTCCTGAGGGGAGAAGGAAGGTGTGCACCAGTCATGTCACCATAGTTCATCCAATAGTTGTGAAGATGGCCACAAACATGATCCTCATGGGAGCTCTGAAGGAACAATCAGGACGCCTACAAAGTGATTTGATTCATCATCTGGAGAACACACATGTCAACAACATATGTTAGTTTGGATAAGTGACCTGTTGGACGTCACCGGACACCATCAGGACGATGGGGGTTCCCTATAAGTCACAACAGGCATCAACCTCATGGTGGCACCAGTCTGAGAGTCTGAAGGGTTCATCTTTAAGAATCACAAAGTGACCATCACCTGATGTTGGTCTGGACCAAAGTGGGCCGACTGCATGGCTGAAAAGCTAAAGAACAAAACGGTGGGAATATTCTAAAAGGCCAAAATCCTTCCATTTGGTCACCAGTCAGCCTGAAATCACTGCTGTCAATAAAGATTGAGTGTGTTCATGTTCGTTTCTTTTGTTCGTGCTACTTTCTTCGTCCACTGAGTGGCTTCGAACTTCTTTCTTTGGATCATCACGTCTTGAACTGGTGTCCACATGTCTTCTCTCAGTCCTGTTTCAGCTCCATGTTCTCCACCTCTTCTTCCGCCTGCGTCACCTTGCAGTCTCTAATGTCTTCCATCTCCATCATGTCGTCCTTCTCTGGACCCAGCGTTGGTTTAACTTCTGCTCCAGTAGTTTCTGTGCTCTCAGGTTGTCCAACTTCTCCTCCCTGTGCAGAAGTTTCTCCTCTCTGGTCGTTCTCTGAGGATTCTTCTTCCTCTGCTGTGGTGACAACAGAGAACTCTCTCCTGCTGTCAGGGCTGGCTTTAACTATGGTCACACTACTTATACTGCCCCCTTGTGGTGAGGAGGGTGACAAAGGCAAACTGCTCAGTCTGTCTTTAAAAAGCTGATCAGATGAAGAACCTGTAGAGTCGTCTGTTGCAGATGGTGAAAGCTTCGATGCTTTCAGAATTCCAGCTCTTTTAATTTCTGTCTTTTCTTCGGCCTTTGGGGTTTTGGCTCCTTCAAGCTTTAGCTCCTTTGACGATGATGAACTTGAAACCACATCTCCTTTGGTCGTAGATGTTACAGACGTCACACTTCCTGACTTCACAGTAAGACGAGGTGAACTTGGGAAGGACAAGTTCTGGTCAGCTGGAGTAGAAGAAGGGGTTTGATGTCTGGGGTCAGCAAGTGGTGATGGAGAATCGGCCTGTAGAGGACTAGAACTTTGTCCAAAGGATAACGATGAAAGAGGGGATCTGCTGCTCAGGAGCTTCGGACTTGGTGTAGGTGCTGGAGAGGAGACGGTTTCTGCAGCCTGGGATGGCTTGTTTCCCACGCTTGGTGTTCCTGTGAGCGGTGGGGTCGGAGTTTTCAACAAAGAGGCTGAAGATGGGGTCTTGATTGGAAAGGGAGATGGAGGGGATGAACCTAAGCTTATTAAAGCTAAGGAAACACCAGAACCTGGTTGTGGATTTGGGCTGGAGCTTGGGTCAGGAGGAGTTTGGATAACTGGGAACCCTGCAGTAGAACAGGGTTCGGGCTGGTCGGTAGGTATGTTAGGGACGAAGCCTGGGGCTGATCCAGGCACTGGGGCGATGGGTGTAGAGGTCTGCAGGGGTCCAGGATCATACGCCTCCTCAGGTTTTAAAACCTTTTCCTCACCATCTAGTCTTTTCAAAGATGCAATAGGAAGAGAACTGGGGGCAGAAGATGCTGTACTAACAGCAGAAGGTTGGATCATCATCACTGCTCGAGGTTCAGGACTGGAGCCAAGTTTAGCAGCTTCCTCAGGACCAGAGTCCCGGGAGAGTTTTGGACTTTTAGATGAGGGAGAAGTAACAGAAGCTTTCAGCTCACTTTCCAGTTTGGCAGCAAGTTTTGTGCTTCGTTCAGGATCAGCTTTAATGTTGTGTGCCTGCATGGCTTCTTCCAGAACCAGAGGCTGCTGCTGAATTGCAAACTTCAGCCCTACAGCCTCCTTCGCTGGCCCCTCCCCTCCTTTAACAGCGACCGGGTCACTGCCCCGCCGCAGCCCAAATATGGTCACACTCTTCCTTCGTTTCCCCATGTTTGCAGCCATCCCATTGGCACTTTCTGGAGGCGGCCTGACTTCTTTAAACATGCTCCTCAGGTTGTATCCGCCCTCTTTGCGCTCATCACTATCCTGAGATTGGTCCAGCTGGTCTCCAGAAATGGCCAACGGATTCATGCCTCCGTGGGGCTTCTTATCGGTGTGGGTCACCCGGAACCTGAGGGAAATCACACACTGATGATGCACTGGCTGGAACTATCGCTTCATGTCTGTGCACAAATGGCATATTTCTGGATGGTTACCTTCCAACAGAGAAGACCGTCTGCTCTCCAGGTCGCTGTTTGGACCGTGGAGTTCTGCTCTGTCTCCGGCCCTTTTTGGACCGAACCTGGGCACAGAGGTGGCAGGAGTTGTGGTCGGTGCCTGAGTGGACTGTGTGGTGATGGGGAGGAACGCCACCGATGGACTCCTTACGCAACCTGGACATCAACAGCAACAGGTTTGTGAATTAGCTTGAACACTTAGCTGTTTGTGTGCAGCATGCAAACCATAAACATGCCTTAAACATGCCTTAAACATGCCTTAAACATGCCTTAAACATGCCTTTAACATGCCTTAAACATGCCTTTAACATGCCTTAAACACGTTACACACGGCTTGGCCACAACATCATGACGGCATATCACGCTGTTGGTTCTCAGCATGCAGCACAATGGCTCTTCAGACCTCTGAAGGTTTCTGTGGCACCACGATGCTATGCTAGGCTGTAGGGTGAAGCTGCTGTGGACCAGATCTGTTCTAAAAATCCCTCATCTGACTGTTTCAGTCATTTCAAAGACTGGGATAAATAGAGTATTTTTCTATTCTATTCATCACAACACGACTGTTCTCTGGATACATCCCAGAACCTCGTTTACATTCTGTCTGGAGTTAGGAATCATTTCTGCCTTTCACTTTGTTGAGGTCTGTTTTTTTCTAAAGACTTTTTCCGGCCCTTTGGTTTTATCTGATAGGACAGAGAGAGAGACAGGACAGTGGGGGAGCAGAATGGGGGAAGGACCTGCAGCAACAGGTCATGAGCGGGACTCGAACCCATGACCGCTGTGACGGGGACTTGAGCCCCTGTACATGGGACACCAGCTCAACCAGGAGATCCGGTGTGAGCTCATTATTCTCAAGTTTCATTTTCAGTTGTTTTGGTTTTTGTTCTCTGTTTAGTTTAGACAATAAAAATGCAACGTTGGGTTTTAGAGAATATACGGTTGGTTTAACATCCGACTCTTTCACTTCATGTTTGAAGGTTCTCCTCCGTTTGTGGGTCACCTGCTGGGTGAGTTCTGCCCGACCCAATAAAGCAGCAGAAAGATGAAAAACATACGTTGACATGAAACTTATTTGAAATGTAATTGAGATGTGGTTTAGTTATATAAGATGGTCGTTTTTGTGTTATGAGATCATCAACATTTCTCTATCGGCTACAATCATCCATCCATCATCTCTACACCTTCATCCTCACCAGGGTCATGGGGGGCGGAGTCTATCCCAGCTGACTCAGGGTGAAGGCAGGTTCACCTGGACAGGTAACCATTCTATCACAGGGCTACACTTAGAGACAGACAACCAAGCACACTCACATTCACACCTACGGACAATTTACAATCACCAATTAACCTCAGCATGTTTCTGGACTGTGGGAGGAAGCCGGAGAACCCGGAGAGAACCCACGCTGCACGGGGAGAACATGGAGACTCCACGCAGGAAGATCCCGGGTGTCCTCACCGGGACGCCAACCAGCGACCTTCTAGCTGTGAGGCGCTAACAGTGCTAACGATGCTAACCACTGATCCACCTGCAGCCCTGCTACAACTATTTTCTTTATTAAAACTTTAATAAATAGTGACAGCGGTTATGAAATTGTTGATTCCATTTCACAGTTTACATTCACTGTCGTCTGTGATTTGTTCCAGATTTCTGCGTAAGAAAACCCTAAAAATTCAGTTTCACCACTGAAAGCCAGGAGCTGCTGCTAAATGACTGATTCTGTCAGAAAGAAGAAGACTTGGTTCAGTGGCAGGTGAACTCTAGGATGAATCAGAGGCTCAGCAGCATGTCAGGACGTACCTGGGGTCATGACGCACACAGACGTTGCGGTTTCCCAACATCTCATTGAAGGCTTCCATATTTGCTGGAGGTGACAAGAACATCCACATCAGACCAACCAATAACTGGTAAATGGATCTCCGAGTCCAAACTAATCTACTGTGATGAGGATGACGTTTGTATCACGACTGCATTTCTGGCATGAAAACAGTCAAATGGAGGAAAGTTAAAAAATTACATCAAGAACATTGGTTCAGAAAACATCGGACAGACGACCAAGCGTCCAATCAGGAGCAGCAGAGACAGAACAGCACAAAGCAGGAGGACAAACCAGTTTCCAGAAGCCTGAACTGAACAGGGGAACCAAATTCAGCCAGAACTGAAGAGAATTCAATCGTAGAAGCTACTAATCACTAGTCACCTTCATTTTCAATGATGCATTTGAGGATCTGCTCCACGGTGTCCTGGTTCTCTTCGTCTTCATCTGAAACACACAACAACAAACTCATAAACTCAGTCCTTCGATCTGATAAATGCCTCAACATAATGCAGGAAATTATCATTTTCTTTGTGCTTCTCTCAGCATTTACACATTTCCCGTAAAGAATTCATAGTTTCTGTTGAATAAAACGTATTAATAGATTTATGTGTGTGAGCGGTTGTTGCTGTGCTCTTGTTTATTTGTGAAGGAGAGCTGCAGGTGGAGAGAAGAAGAAGCTTCAAACCCAAACCACCCTCAGTAGGGTTAGGGTTAGCGATCGTCAACAGCTCAGGGGTAGGGTTAGCGATC